GAGAGAGAGAGAGAGAGAGAGAGAGAGAGAGAGAGAGAGCACTGTTTTCATTTCTAGGTATTTAAAAGTCACAACTCCATTTCCAAGAACTTATAATCAGCCTTTCAGGGATAAGTAAACAGAAAGTACACCCCAACATCACCCTCAAGCCTTTGCTGGAGCCTAACTGCTGAAGGTACTGTGTACAACTTTGATGTAACATTCCACATCCAAAGAGATGATGCACCAGGGTAGCTGCTTGTGACCTGTGATTCTTTGAAATCCTGCCTATACTTTTCAAATATTCTGATCTTTGTTATAACATAAATTAAAAATAGTGAAATCATACTGTTCTTCAAATAAACTCTGACTTCTGAGTGTTGTTCAGATCCAGTGCCTATTATATTTGTGTAAGTTACTGATTAATGGCTTTCTAGCTATTTTGGAGATTTAATATGCTTATTAAAGAAATTGCTAACTTTATTGAGGGACTACGCCACTGAAGCTGTATCTCATAGACAGGCAGGAGCTTACATTGAAATAAGTGAATGGATATGGAAACATTTTGGAGCATGAAATCACTTTACAAATATAATATATTCTTATTTTGATGTTGGTTTAACACTGAAGTGAAACTTCAAGCATTTAGACTAATGATTTAGTTCTTCTGAAAGCTAGCTAATTTCTTGGTGCTAAAGGGAGAGCAGACATGGAATTTTCTGCAATCTATCATATGGAAGGGCATGGGAGGAGGTGTGGTACTGAAACAACCTATTGCAGGAAATGACTTTTGTTAGCATTTAAATGTGAATTGATAAAAGTGTTGCCTGTGAAGTGTTGAAAACAGGCCAGATGAATCTGATCATGTTTTTCTCTAAAGCTATAGAAGAACCTTCACCTATTTCTGTTCTGGCTTTATTTTCTTATCTAGCATTGAAAAAAATGAAAACATCATGTTAAGAAACAACTAGCGTTTTGAACAAGGAACGAAGACACAATATTAGGAGTCATATAGCTCAATAAGTTAATCTCAGTTTGTGGCATGTGTTTAGAACTGGAATAAAGAAGTGCCATGTGTGTATTACCATGTAGTTAGGGTCAGTATTCTGGTTGTGAGTGTTAACTACTAAATTTAGAAACTCAAAGCTCAGTTAAAATTCTGTGTTACTTTTTCATTAGTCTTTCCTTCCATTGAAAGTATCACACACGATTATACCTAGTTGCTATCTTTATATTGAGATTTGTTTATAATATAAGTGAGATTATAATTTATTAAGACCAGCTTATCATGTAATACAAAAATAATAAATGCATTATCTTATTTATCTACAGTCAAGTTTCATGTATCTTATAGTTGCTCATTCAAACCAATTAGAAAGGAACACCCAGAATATAACTTGAGTATGTAATTTTTTAATGAACAAAATATTTTTAAAGCAATCCTGTGATGAAGGCTTCAGGTTTTGAACACATTAGCATTTAGAAGAGTGTCACTTCCCATGTGATTTAGTCCATTCCTAAAATCTTGTGCCTTTTTGCTTCTTTTAATGTTTTACCTGATATAAAATTGACAGGCTGAAGTGATTTGGGAATGTAGATTTGTCTGGTATTTTTATTAAAGGCATAGGAGTATGAAATGGGCAGCTGTAGATTGTGTGAAATAATTGGTCAGACAAATTAGCTATATTATGATAGTACTTGGTATTAAAAGGCCAAAAACTAGTAATTAGCTTTTGACAATTTAGGCCCTATTATCACCACATAGGAAGCCCAAGCTTTTTTCTGTTGTCCTGCTGCCAAGTCCTGTTGCTATAAATTGTAGGTACTGAAAGCAAATCATTTTTACTGTATTAATTTTATTTATTGTAAATAACTAAAATATAATCTACAGATACCAGAAATTTCCAGCTATAATTGGTGGGTCACTTATTTCATGTAGCATTCATCAACCCCCCTCCCACACCGCCCCACCAAATCTGGATAGTTCTTTGGAGTAATGAGGTATTTGACCTAAACAATTAAAGAGGACCTCACTCAGTTAAAGTTAGCTAAAGTTGTTGGCAATCATTATTCATTTGCATTCATTCTATTTTAAGACTGATGCTTCCAGGATAAAAATGTCAGCTACAAGCAGAACATCTCTTTGAAACCAGGGCCAGGACTTTAATTAAGCACACCAGACTATTATACATTCAAAAATAGTCAACCAGGGTCTCCAGCTTTCTTTCCCTGTCTCTAATTGCCAAACATGAACCAAAATACTTCAAGTCATTGGCAGGCATTTATCTTGGGGAACAAACTAGGGTTTCTCAAAAAAAAAAAAAAAAGAAGCAAAAACCACAACGACAACAACAACAACAACAAAAAAAAATACACTTCATGTTGGAATGGATGTGCTTGGCCATTGCAGGAAGAAGTAAGGATTGCTGTGTGTGATTTCAAATGGACTGTTGTTAAATTGTTAACTTCTTGATTAAGGGAATGCTTTTCAGTTACAGATTGATTGCCTTATTTTTTCAAAGCATATTCGCATTCATTATTTTACTGACGGTAAGTACTGGAAGTGAAGCTGGAGTTAAGAATTTTCCTGTGTTCATGAAGGTAAGTGGCAGAGCTGAAAATGTAACCCATACATCTGTTTTCCAATCTAATGCTCCATCTAGCACATCACACTGCCCTTTAACCAAGTGCTTAATTTGTCACTTTTATATTGATGAAAATTATTATATATGAAAGCATTGGGAGCAAAAGCATAAGAACACTTTAATTCAATGGTAGCAAATTTTGTTATAATTCACTTAGAGTGTTGTAGCTGGAGCATCTGTCAGGGCTCAGGTGATCTTCATTACAATGAACTGTTTGCCATGGCTCTTTTAGAAAAAATGAATTTGACCTCAGCTGGAACTTAATCTTTTAGATCTGATCTAGGGAG